ATTCTCATTAAAGACTAAGGAGGGATGAAACAATCCTCGAAAGTGCATAAATGGAAAGGTTCGGCTAGCGTGTCTGCTTCTATCCCATTTGTTTGAGGGTCATCCTCCAAGAGGAGGGCAGAATGCCCACAATCTATCATGGCTTGAGAGGCTTTCAGGAAATCCCAACCAAGGATAACATTATGACTGCAATGCTGCAAAACTACAAACTCAAATGGTTGGTACTTCGCATTTATACTGATTCGTGCTACACATTTTCTGGCTGGATGTATGAAATTTCCATCTGCTACCTTCAGTATGATGTCTGTGGTGTCAGTGAACATGGTCTTCCGCAGTTGCCAATGATATGCCTTGGAGAGAACAGAAAAAGACGCTCCAGAATCGACAAGGGCATGCACGGGGTAGTTCTCTATACTAATGTCCATGTAATTCCTGGTCATCCGGGCAACAGTCATCAAAGGAGGATTTTCTTCGCAAGCGGCCTTACCCCCAAGAAAGGTCATGCCACTTAGTTTTCCTCTGCTCTGAGATGGGGAGATCAACTAAGACGGTGGTATGGTGATGGTGATCTCAGGCGTTGGCGAGTTGGTGAATGTTCTCTTTCATCCTTGGCATACGGTGAAAAACTTTGAGACCCTGATGGCCAAACGTAGTCCTTGGAGAATGGCTGGCGGAACTGCTGCCCTGCCTGTGCCTCTCTATTCATGCAAGAAGCATCAAGCATTTGCCTCCACTCTCGGCAATAGCATACAACATGGCTGGGACGTCTGCAATGGAAACAAACAGGGCGGTTATCATCTGTTCTCCACAAGTCAGTTTTTCTTTTTGGAGGTTCAGCAACTGGAAGCTGTCACCAGGTAGTGGCAGCATAGATAGGGCGCTGTTTCGGCTGAGTAGCTGTCCAGGATGACACAGGCTGGGATATTGGGGCTAGGGTTCTCTCAATCTCTTCTCTAACAAGCAAGTCGAGTGAAGACCCTCTCAGTTTGGCATCCTCCCACTGGGGTCCCAAGATTCATTGAACCTTTTCTCTTACAATCTGCTGAATGAAAGTGACCATATCAGGTTGTTCGTCCAAAGAAGCCATAGGAACGACATTTGGCAGACCGTCAAATTTCTGTGGACTGACTCATTTCTGTCGCATATCCTCGATGTAGCAACACCAGTTGATGAACTTGGTCATGGTGGTGAGGTCCTTTGTGAGCAGGGCCCGAGACACGTCTTCAGCAATGCCTTTTATCAGGTGAGACACCTTATCGGCTTCCTTCATGTGAGGATTCACTTTGTGACACAAACTTAAGATATCCTGAATGTACGATTGAGTACTTCCCCCCTGTTTCTGTGCCCTGCACTTTAAAACTTCCTCTGCTTGCCAGGCTTGCTGCTTGTCATCCCCAAACACCTTTTGAAGTTCGGTCTTAAACTATTGCCACGACCAAAGACCTGTTTCATTATTTTCATACCACTGTTGAGTGGTACCTGTGAGGAAGTAGGCATTGGCGATGCATGCCATGTCATCCCAGCAGTAAATGTCGCTATTCGATCGTATTCCTGCAGCCACTCTTCTGGGTCAACGGTAGCATCACCAGCAAACATAGAAGGATTTCTAGTGCTGGATAACTGAAGGGACAGAGGTCACCCCAAGGTCTTTTTGCGGTCTTGGGCCATTGGTTTTTGTCATGTCTGTCCAGGAGGAGAATACAGCCCGTATTCCGGCGGTAACCCTATGAGCCGTAGACTTTGTCGAGGACGGGATGGTATCTCCACTATGCTAAGGGGAAGTGGAAGGCAGTACTCAGCATCTCCACCAAACTGTCGCAGGAACAAATGGCAACCAGTCGTTAGGAACACAAAGGTATTTATTCACTCAGACCTCAGACAATGCACAACTACTGCAGCTTCCAGTACGAGAACAAGAACCACTCTCAACCTGAGAGCTTGCTGTTATATACTACAGAGACATGGTAGAGATATGTAAATACTAACAAATTACCATGTGTTCTCAGACCGTTACATCATTACTGGAAAGGGGTGAAAGCTCGAGACTACTCAGTAGTATCGCTCGAGGGTGAAATGGGGGAAAGAGAGGTTTAGGAGAGGGGTGAAGGTGAAATGGAAAGAGAAATAGGATATGTGGTGAAGGGGTAGGATCATGAGTGCCAACAACACATTTATTGATGAGAATAAGAGAGAAACAAAATACAATATGTACAGAATACAGAGTATACAATACCTGGTTACAAGGTGGTGCCGCGATTGTAAAACAACAATAGATAGAAAAACAATTTGACAATAAAGTGGCAATTATACAATTGGTTAAAAGTAGAAAATATACATGTATGCGATGAAGGATGTGAGTCCTGTTGGAGGATCTGCTTCATTAGTTGATTTGTGTGTTGTTCCTGTGGTAGTCTGCCGGTTGAAGTTTTACAACAAAGGCCTTAAAGGTTGAGAAGATTTTCTTGTTGTGGAGAAGGGCCTCAAGGGGGCAGGGCCAATGGTGACCCTCGGCCTGATGCCTTCCCTGAGAGGGGGCCTGTGGGCCCTGTGATTTGCACAAGTAAAGATTACATGGTATGGGTCCTCGTCTTCCTCTATTCCGCAATTGCAGGTACTGCTTCCTTTTTTTGAGAAAAGGTGGAGATAAGCCCTGAAATTACCATGTGCTGTCAAGAGCTGGGTGATGGCATGATTGGTGTTGAAGAAGTTAAGTGTCATCCTTTTGCTGATGTTGGGCAGGAATTTGTGAGTTAGACGCCTGGTGGTACTCGTGTCCCATTCCTTTTGCCAGTTATCCATAATGATGGTGTTAAGCTTGCTTTTGATGGCAGAGAGGGAGGATGGCAGCATAACTGCAGTTACTAGTGATTGTATGGGCTTTCTTAGCAAGAGCATCAGCTTTTTCATTGCCGTAAATCCCAGTGTGTCCCCTTACCCAGTACAGGTTGATAGAAACCATCTGACCAATCTCTCCTATGATCTGGAGGCAGTTGTTGATGATGGGGAGCTGGCGATTGCCATTGTTCAATTGGTGGAGGGCTGTGCGGCTGTCACTTAAGATGTTGATGGTGGTTCGTTTAAAATGCTGAATGTTGGTTTTGATGTATTTTAGACTGTGCAGGATGGCCAACGACTCAGCCTGATTGATGGTGCAGTGATTGTTGAGAGAGGCTACTGATTGCCAGTAGTGCCTCTTGCTGGGGTCGTTGAGGTAGACAGTAGTGCCAACCATGTTGTCAGTTTTAGAGCCGTCAGTATAAAAGTTGACTCCCTTAGTAGGGGGGAATGGTTGAAGTAGCTATTGTAGCTCTTAATGGCAGCTGGGTGGGTGGTGTCAGTTTCGACCATTTTGTCGATCCCATAGTCCTTAATGTTTTTAACAATGGAGTGGATGGCCTCTGGGAGCTTAAGTTCATTGATTGCCCTGTTAGTCAGAATGTTGTCGTTATCAGGAGTGTTGAGCTTTATGAGGAGGTTTTTGATATACCTGCTCAGGATGACGTGCTGAATAGGGGGGAGTCCTGCGATGACAAGGGCATCCATTGGTGTAGTTCGATAGGCTTTGGTTGCTACATTAGCCGCCATATGCTGGGCCAAGAGGAGTTTCCGGTGAATATGCACCTTAAGGACAGCATAGCCCCACTCTTCACATCCGTAAGTCAGGATGGGCTCAATGGCCCCCTTGTAAGTTAACTTGGCATTCCAATGGTCAAGCCCCCAAATGTTCCTTGCAATGCTCCTGAGGGAATGGATGGCCTTCGTTGCCTTGTCGTATAGGTAGTGTATGTGAGCCTTCCAGGTGAGCCTAAGGTCTAGAATTACCCCTAAATATTTTAATTGATCCACATGTTTAATGCGATGCCCATTTGATGGTGGGTTTTTTTTTAGAGGGTTTCCTTTCGGAAAGACGATACAGCTGCACTTATTTTGATTGATGATTAGTCAATTTTCTATGCTCCACTTGTTGATTTCGTGTAGGAAACTGTTAGCGTAAGTCTGGAGGACCTTTTGGTTATTGTGAGATAGCAGAACTACTGTGTCATCTGCGTACCCCTGAATATAGGGGTGTGTTCTCAGACTGGGAGAACGTACCCACCAAAAAAAAGAACCTGCATCAATGAGGTTCGAACCAGAGACCTTCGCTCAATAGGCAAAGATGCTAACCCCTACACCATGAACGACACGGTGGGAAGAGAGAGCTGCGGCAATATTTAGGAAAGGTTTTTTGTTTTGTTATTTCAGCATAGTTAATAGTTTTGAATTATGTGAAAATCAGGAAGGAAATCCAGATAAAATAACTGGACAGATTAGTTGTTATAGTTTTGAGAAATTTGGTTGTCTTTTCTGTTTGTTGGGAAAAATGTATTTCTGTGGTCTCTCATTCTAAGCCCTTCACTTATATCGCTAACACGGGTCATGTTTACTTTCAAAAACAAAGTAGGATGGAGCATATAGCAGTTCAACCAATCATGGATAACAAAATTGATTAAAATACAAAAATGTTAAATGTATATCCTTTTCTTTAGTTGTAAGTTTCATTCCTCTAATTACTACCATTGAGAGTTAAACAATTTTAAAACATACTATTTTTTCTAATCAATATAGTCTTAGAGAGAACTATTTCTTGCAGAAGCAAAGTCAAGGTTAGAATAAACAGACTATAGTTTGTAGGAGTTGTGGACATTATAGAACATTTTATATTAATGTGTAAAGAGTGTTAATATTTCAAAAAGAAATGATCAAATAAAAGTTTTTAATAATATGCAGAAACATAATTCTATTTTAATAACTTGTATAAGCAATAAATTGAGCATTCCTTTTCAAACTACCTCTTACAAACTAACATTATAAACAAATCTACCATTTTATATTATTTTGAAGAAGTAATGAATTTAATTTGTATTATGAACTTTTTTATTTAGAATACTATTTTACAGCTGTTTTTCTCAAATTTATTACATGTGATATTCTTTTCATGTATGAAATACTTCATATTTCAGTTGGCTAGCATTGCAGACAGAACAATTATGGAAGCAGATAAAGATGGTGATCAGGTGATAACTTTTGAAGAATTCTGTTCAACATTGGAAAGGACAGATGTTGAAGAAAAAATGAGTATTCGTTTCTTACATTGAATTAAGTTTGGAGTTGGTATTAAACAGTTGCTTATTTTAAATAAAGAACACATACTGTAGCACTTATATCTGTAAATCATAACATCATTATAGTGAACATCTATTATTAGCATAAGATGCAAAAAGATTTTAAATTTCCTATTCCATTCTTTTTTTTTTAAATTATATTCAGAATGTTATGTTCAAACTCAATAAAAATGTATATAGATTTGAAGGCAGAATATAATAATTTTTGAGAAATTTGTAATTTAAGGAAAGAAATGTAAATACTTTATTGAAATTGTTTAAACATGTTTAGAAATATTAAATGGAGAACTATTTATAATTTTGAATATATATTTATAATAAAAATAAAACTGTTAAAAAAAATGTTAATGTTATCTACATAAGACAGATTTACTGTGTTTCCACACAAATTGCCTTCACTTTTGTGTACTTTTGTAGAAAATAAATCTATTGAAAAGATAGCATTGTTAATATTAAGTTTTTGGAATAACAATGATATAAAACTGTCCCATAAATTTTCTAATACTTGTATAACATTGTAAAATTATGCTAAACAATTAAATAATCATACTTAATTTTAAAAAATTAGCAAAATTTATTATACATTAAATGTTGAATTATGTAATATCCAAAGAGTATACTTATATAATATTCATGGATATAAATATTATAAAACATGAAATTATAAATATACTGAATAAGAGAAAGTGGGATAAGAATGCACAATTCATTTATTTAGAGGTTAAAACATTTCTAGTGAGAGATTTTGGTTGTGATCAGTAGTAGTGGCAATGTAAAAACGTATGATTTTAACGTTTGATGATCTGAAGTTTAAAGAAGGTAAGACAAAAATTTTATGTCATTCAATGTTTTACAACAGTATGTTTTTGTTTATTGAGAACATTATTGAAACAGAAAAGAAGCCAATGTATGGATGCAAAATGTGTGTGTTTGAGTATTAGTCTTAAAGTAATTAAGATTATGAAGTATAATTCCAAGTACTGTATACTGTATAAACTTATAATTTCGTATTTGTAATATTTATATCATTTGTGTTTTAAGGAGAAGTATTTGTTTTGAAAATATAACCCAAATAAAAACATCTCGGATGTAAAAAAATTGCGAGTAAAAATTTATGACAATTTAGATAAGGGTCAAAATTTTTCTCGGGGAGTTTTTCTTTAGTAAAGATAAGATTGGTGTAATTAGTCCGTACGTATCTTACCAGTTAGTGTCTTTCAATAAATTGTAAACAATGAATTTTTTCAAATGAGAAGTGGCCCATTAAAGTTTGAGCCCAGAAGAATTTGAATCGGGAGACCCGTGCAGTGTTGATATCGGACATTTTTCTATGGGGGGAATGTTTTGGGAGGAAATATTTTCTTATAAATTTGTTTGAGGGCCAAGGCAATTCCCCTATTTGCTCTTAGGGTAACGTGCCACTGTAAATGAGCTAAAATTATCGTCATTGAATTGAATTGCTGACCGACTAGTTGTAAAATGTCTGATCAAAGATTTTAAGGAGAATTTACTATATAACTGGATTGCTGTATATTAGATCTCTCTGTAATACGTCTCTGTAATCCAACAAATGGTAGACGGACTCGCAGCAAATTTTCAGTTAGGAACTACAATTTTATTCTCAAAAATGACAAATGAATTCCAGGTTGGCGCAATACATCCCTAAGAAAGTTTCCTTACAATGATTCAACCAAATTTTTGGAAGTAAAAGCTTATATGGAATAGTATATCATTTATATACTAGTCACATATTAATAATTCTGTATTTTCTTCCTTAGTGATTTATTAAATTACTTATCAATATATATTATATAATACATAATTTTATTTATTGGTTTTACAACAAAATTATATACAGTAGAGCCTTGATTAACCAGGGTTCCACATTATCTGAGGTGAACCCGTAAGTGAATAGTGAAGTTTACAAATGTTCGTAGATCACACAATTGGCGACCAACTGGGTGCGCCAAATAACATTAACAAATTGTTTTCTTTTAATGATATGAAACCGTGTTTTGAAATTTGTTTCTGCTTCTAACACAATGAAGTGCTATAAATTAAGACTCGGCGGTTTTTCTCATCTTTATTTAGTTGTCTTAATTTATAGCACTATTGTGTTAGAAGCAGAAACATTAACAAAGTTCAGATAGTTCAATATGCCGATCTCGGTTCGTCGAGAAAATACGTTACGACGAGTTGTCGGCTAGAAGTATTCTTCCAGCGATCGAAGAACAGACGGCGAGATAATCCAGACTCGATTCGAACTTTGAGGCACACTTGAAGTTCCAAACCAAACTTACTCGTTAGACAAAACTGACGTGTACCCCGAAGTTCCCGCGTTTAAGCGAACTTACGTATACCCGAAATTTCTAACCGAACTTAAATCTCCCGTTTCGACATTAACCTTTTTATAATTAGTTTGAAGAAAGTTGCATTTACAATAAAGTATAAAATAACGAAAGAAAACACAATTATAAATTGATTCTTAACATATTAATTTCTTTTGACGAATTGTAAACGATGCATTTTTTCAATTGAGTTGAAATTATTATCACCGAATCGAATTGTCGATTCGGTGATGATAATTTCAACTGAACCCGGCACACGTATTTGTAAAATCTAAGTGACTCATAAAACATGGATTTCATATCAAACGGAATTATCAACAGTGTATGGGGGGTCGACTGTATACGAAGTTGCATTATGCAATGATTATAATATACAGTATTTTTATGGTTTGAGCTTACACAAAATATAAAACTTTATTTACTATTGAACACAAGACTGTGTTATTAATTAAACACTTGGCGTTTTTTTTCTTTATTCAGTTGAATAAAGAGGAAAAACGCCAAGTGTTTAATAACAGTCTTGTGTTCAATAGTCAATAAATACGAAAACACGGTTTCAGAAAACAAATAAAACTTTATTGCAAAAGATGCTTCTAGCCCTCAGTATAATTATACAGTAGAGCGTCGATTATCCGAATCAATTGGGGACGGGCTGTTCGGAAGATCGATGTTTCGGATAACCGATTATGCACGAAAAAATATATTAATTTATCCCATCTTGACATTTTTCTCCGTTGCGTGTCGCTTCGCGTTGAATTTTCGTCGATGTTAAGCCTAACGAAGACTATTGTATCGTTAAAAATTATTTTTTTATNAGTATATTGGTCTGTATTTTCACTCGATACTTCTACATGTGCTTTCTCTAAAACTTTGGGTATAATATATTCCTCTTGTCTTCGATCTGTAGTATTTACTTTTGACTCTAAAATACCAGGATTCTTACCTAAAATAATCAATCTAATCTTATATATAGCATTTAATGGGCTTGGATGTTCATTATTACCCCGGCTTCTAATTTGAAAAGAAAAAGTTTTCCAGACAATCTTGATTTAACTTGTGAGTACAGATGAATTTTATATCAAAAGTCGATTTCATATCTTGAAAAAGACCAATTAGCGATTTCATTGAGATTATCATTTCTTTCTGGAAAATTTGGATGGCATTTTTTCCACTCGCTCTCATTGTTAAGATTATTTTTATCATTTTATTTAAATGTTCTT